TGGTCCTGGGAATATACAAAAGGCAAGTGGCTTTTAATTACATCTTTTATTGGACCAACTGTATGGTTGGGAAAGATATTAGATAGGCTTTTGGATGCAACATGTCCTTCTTCAGGTCATTTGTCAATATAGCTGATTTTGTTTGAAGAACCAGAGTAAGGCCCAGAGCAGTAATCCCTGACCAGCTCTCTCCATTTTAAATAACTTAATATATTTTGAGAGCCTCCTCCTACTTGCGCTACACTAATACACACCCATGAGGAGCTTATGAGGCATCGCTTTTTCAAGCCACTGCCAAGCTGTGATTTTTCCCAAGTAACACAACATTGGATGGCTGCAAAAGAAGATCCAGGCCAAAGGAATTTTAAACACAGAAACTTAGGTGAAGCAATAAAGATAGTCAATGCCCTTTTCTTCTTTAATGAATTATTAAAGGTTTAGGATACAGCACAATGTGCTACTAAAATGATTAACTCTCTTGCTGCTGGTATTGGGGGAACTGGTAGAGTCAATGAAAGAATATGAGGCTCTTTGATAGAACAACCATGCAGCAAGCTCCATTTGGATATTCCAGGGTCCAGGAGAAGTCCTCTACATGCAGTTCCCTGGCATTAAGAAGCACAGCAAGAAATGTTCTGACTGAATATACCTGGTAATATTTTGGCAGACACACAGGGCAATCTATCGAGATGTAATCTGGCAAGGATACTGAAGAAGTTAAAAGGAATTTTAATTCTGGCAGAAGAAATGCTTTTAAAAGCTTTTTTGCTTTGCAGAAAATAATAAGTATGTCACCCAAACTGCTTTATTTTGGTTACTTATTACTTTTAGTGCAAAACTATTCTTTGCCTGTTAGGAGTCATCCTCTGTGAGATTATCTACATTTTCTGAGCAAATCATTTTCTTGAGTTATTTCATAGAGTGGAAATATTGAAATGCATTGTAAGTCAAATCCATCTACTCCAGTGGGGGCAGGGAAGAAAAGTTATGCATGTACCTGTTCAGCAGATGGGACACTCTCTAAGCTGCACCTCTTACTATGTAGAAAAGTGTTTAGAATTTTAAGATTGTCAGACTCCTGGATTCTTATTCAATCCCAAATAACCCATCCTCTGGCCACTTCAAGATTGTTTCCTGCACTATTTCTTGTCCAGTTGTAAGTGACTCAAAGGCAGCTTCTCTCATTTCCTAAGGAACAGATCTCCTTAAACTTCAGCATCTAATTCTTACAAACCTTTTTTCTGATGTTTGTTTAACATTATTCTTTTCTTAATTGTATGCCCCTGCTTGTAATCATACTCTGAAAAACCAAGCTAAATAATTTATCTCCTTGGCTCATGTTTATATCTTTAAAATATTGGTAGTGGGTGCTACAATATTTTTCTCCTTTGGTAAGTGAGCATAGTGTTTCTTTTGATTTTAGAGAGAGAAAAAGATCCTATTGCCTCCTGGCACCATGATTTGATTGTTATACATGTGTCAAGAAACATGGAATAATTTAACTGGTTTATTTTCATTTTAGTGGGAAAGCAAAAGGTTAAGGCTAGTAAATATAATTTTTCTTTCATCATAATGGCTACATGTTGAGGCCCCTGTATCTCAAAAAGCTTTAGTTTTTATAACTTCTCTGGGGAAACTCTGACATGTTCTTTTTCCTGAGAACCCTGCTGGTATTTGTTAGAAACACTCTGTTCATCTGCCACTTCTAGACCTACCTGAAGTTCTAATCCTTTGTTTGTGGCATCACCACTGGTTTCAGCAAGGCAATTGCTTTGATACAACAAAGAGGGGATTATGACTTCAGCTGGGAAATGAGTAACAGAAGCAAGTGAGTTTATAAGGAATAGTAATCTTGGTTGTGTGTAAATATCACCAAGCATCAAAGAAACCAGAAATTCTGTGACCAGGAATCTCAGAAAAAGTTAAACCTCTTTATATTCCTCTTACTCTGCCTCCAAGGAAGTCTATTCTTGCTGGCTTCTCTGGTAACTGTGGAGCTGGGGACCAGAAAGAAGCAGGTTCAGTTCTCCTTGGCCACGTCTACACAAGACGCTGACTGTGCAGTTGTTACTATGCAGTCATTTAGTACTTGCATACCCGAGTACTAAATGAGTGCATGGTAACTGGCATTATTGCGCAGTAGCGTCCCAGCACTGCTTCCTAGTGACACTGACTGCGCAGTAGTTCATTACTACTGCACAGTAGCCTCGCATCACAGTTTGTGCCCCGCAACGAGCTACTGTGCAGTAAGCATCTCATGTAGATGAGGCCCTTGGGTACAGTTTGTTTGGCATTTAAAAAAAACAAACTTTATACTTTGCACCTGGTTTATATCAAAGGGACTGAGTGGTGGTTATTCCTTTCCCTCACCAATCCCTGAATAAGGATACATAAGCTTATTGCAGGACTGTGCAGCTTCTACTACCCCTCCCAAATATGAGAATTAGGAGCAGGAACTAGCTACAGATATTATGAAAGAGTAACATTCTGAGTATAAAACTAAAGACAAGTTCTAATTGAGCATATCAGGTACAGGGACAGTCTCCTGATGTGAGATGAAAGCACTTATGGGAGGGAGGAAGAAAACCACTACATAAAAACTAATAAATGAAAAAGTAGTTGTTCTTTCTGCTTCATACATAATTCCCAGTAATCTTACAAGATTGGGTAAGTATCATTATCCTTTTATACTGGAAGGATAATCATAGCCCACAGAGATGAAAGTTGCCCAGGTTCACTTAGTTAATGGCAGAACCAGAACTAAAGCTCAGGTTTCCAAGTTCAGTTTACTAAACAACTGGACTCAGAATTTAGCTCTTTGACTTTCATAGATTCATAGACATTAGGGCTGGAAGGGACCTCAGAAGATCATCGAGTCCAGCCCCCCTGCCTAAAGGGCAGGAAGTCAGCAGGGGTCATAGGATCCCAGCAAGATAGACATCCAAATGTCTCTTGAAGGCCTTCAAAGTAGGTGCTTGAACCACCTCTGGTGGCAAGCTATTCCAGACCCTGGGGGCTTGGACAGTAAAGAAGTTCTTCCTTACGTCCAGCCTGAAACGGTCTTGAAGGAGTTTATAACCGTTTGACCTTATCATCCCTTGGGGCGCTCTGGTGAACAGATGTTCCCCCAGATTCTGATGAGCACCTGTGACTTTGTAGGTGATAGGTGAGGCAGAACAGGATTCAAGCTCTTCTAGGGATTTAGGGTAAATTAAATGCTCATTTTTGTTAGTGCTCTAAGACAGGGGTGCTCAACCCTGGGCTCTTGAGACAGATCCAGCCTACAGAGCCATGTCATCTGGCCTGTGGGGCTACCCAAGGGTCCAGAAATTTGCTAGTGGGGGAGCGGTGGCAGCATTAATTGCTATTCCCCTTCTACCAAATTTCTAGATGCATGCAGAGCCCCATAGGATGGATAACCTGGCCCTGTGCATCAGATCCGGATCATGCCACTGCATGGCTGGATACAGGCACATGGGGTTGGGCCAGTGCACAGCCGGATTTAGGGACAGGCTGGTAGACCAACCCCGCATGGTATCTAGTCTGCAGGACTAGTCTAAGAGCAATGTTCTTTGGGTAGATGTGATATCTTTTATTAGACCAAGTAAATAGTTTGAAAAAAGTTATTTGCAAGCTCTCAGGCACAAACAGCCTTACCCTCACCCTTTTGGGCACAGATTCTCCCTATGCCTGACAAAGGGTGCTTGTGCCCAAAAACTTGCAAAGAACTTTTTTTCCAACTATTTAGTTGCTCTAATAAAAGATATGACATCTACCCAATGAACCTTGCCTGTCCTTAGACCAACATGGTTACAACCAACAATGCTGTTCTAAGAGATGTGACTTGGATATTATATGGACTGCAAACGTGGACAGCACCAATATGCAGGTTTCACAGTCACTTTTCTGATTGCAGAGTCTATAACCTGCATTTTGATGAGGATGTAAATTCTACGGTGCACCAGCAGATTATAATTCTATGTTGGATGCCCATTTCTGGAGCATCCTGCTTCTGTGATCCTGCACTCCAAGTAAATGGAGATTAAAGTCTTCACCTTTTGAAACTTCCAGAAACATATGTTTTGCATTTAAAAAACACCACATCGTTCACTATCCTGGGGAGCATCTCCTCAGGAAGCATCTGGCACTGAAATAGCAAAGGATGGTGCAGGCTAGGGGTCAAGTACATTGATAGAGCTGTGTGGGGAGCCAAGGACTAGGATAATAGGGGCTCCTACATGATAAGAATGGCATTTACTAACAGAGTATGATGAAAGCTTATACAACTTGAGCCTGAAACATGTCTTTCTTTAGCTAGTCCTACAGCATTAGATCACAGCTTTCCTGAGGGACATTTCACAAACAACATAGAGCTGGCTGACTTCCTCACAGAGCAAGCCAAATAACCTCTGTGTTGAATGTCTCCTGTGCAATGGATGCCTTTTCAAATGCTGTTGCTCTTGTGTGCTTCTTGCTAGCAGGAACAAGCAGCCAAAGTATATAGAGATTAAATGGGAACGATAAGGAAGGGACTTTCCACCATTTCCACTCTTTCACACTGGGTTCAACAACCCAAAGTACATGGGGACAGGGAACAGGAGGAGGGATGAAAGATAGAAGGAATAAGAAGGGAGAGGAAATATATGAAGAAGACATCCATCTACAAAGGAAAAAATATAGAAAAGATGTCTGCAGCATCATAGATATTTAAGAATTTTGTTTTATTTAAGAAAAAGGAAAATGTAAGCCCTTCTTATTTTTCCCTCTAGCTCCTTTTTTCAGCTTCTGTATTTCTCTGTCCTCTTGGAGGTGGCTGGCATTAGGTCTTCAGTAATTCTTGTCAGAGTCTTTTACATTTGAAATAAGTCATCTGAACATTTAGCCCTTTTTAAACACACGTGCACACAGAGTTCCTTTGTTTAGAGAATAAGTGACTTCAGGCCAGAGGACTGAAATTTCACTTTTATCTTACTGTCTCTCTTTCTCTCTTTCTTTTTCAGATAATTCCTCATCTCTTCAAGAAGATGAAGAGCTAGATATGGAGGCTGTCAACTGGCAGCTGAACAGCACTCCTGTGAATGGGCATTCTGTGACCCCAACCAAAGCTCGTTTCCCCAGCTGGGTGACTTTTGATGACAATGAAGTCAGCTGTGCTTCACCACCGAGCCTTTCTCCCTTGAAACCGGATTCCCCACCAGCAGTAACACAGGCTCCAGATGTGAACTTTAACGTCACTGCATCCTTTAAGAAGAGAGAGAGGCCTAAAAGCACGTTGGCAGACCTCTCTAAAATTCAAAAGCTAGATCTTTCTTCCATAAGCAGGCTGCCTTCTGTTGGTGGAACACCACCCTGGAGTGCTACTAACCCCTTCCTGGATGAATCTCTGCGGGATGTCCAACCGTCACCTATCAACCCATTCAGCTCATTTTTTGAGGAACGAGACAGGCGTTCCCACAGCTCCTCTCTCCCTGCTGTTCTTGGCAAAGGCCAAAGAGACTCCCTTATTATCCTTCACCAAGAACCTGACACCATCAGCTTCAATGAGTTGAGCAAAAGCATAACCCACACAGAAGCTGTTGAGCAGCTAAAGCAGCTCCAAATTGGGGATCCAGATCACCTGAGCAGCCCCACTCTACCTGATGATGACCCCATGATGCCAAGTGAACTGGATGACATCACTTTGAACTTAGCTCCATCTCAGCCCAAAGATGGCTGGCCAATGATGCTTAGGATACCAGAGAAAAAGAACATCATGTCATCTCGACATTGGGGGCCAATCTTTGTCAAGCTGACTGAGAGTGGTTACCTACAACTTTTTTATGAGAAGGGACTGGAGAAGCCATTTCGGGAATTCAAACTTGAGATCAATCATGAACTTTCAGAGCGCAAGCTCCAGAACTATGATGAGAATGGAAGGATACACAGTGTGCGGATAGACCGTACCACCTACAAGGAAAAAAAGAAGTATCAGCCTAAGCCATCCATCACCCATGTGGCAGAAAGGGAGCAAGTGATAAAGTTAGGTACTACTAATTATGTAGATTTCCTTAGCTTTATTTCAGCTGTTCAGGACACATTGATGAACCTGCCAGCCTCATCGACGGATCTGAGCATGGTGGGATTGAACTACCAAGAGGAAGAAATCACTGTTGATGTCAAGGATGAGTTTCAAGGCATCTTGGCCAAAGGAGACAATAGGATTCTCCAGCAGAGTGTGCTAACACATATATATGTCCTCAGCTTTCTTTCTGGCTTGGCAGAATGCAGGCTGGGCCTTAATGACATCTTTATTAAAGGGAATGAAATAGTTGCACGGCAGGATATCATGCCCACCACTACCAGTAAGTGGATTAAATTGTACAACTGCCAGTTCCATTCATCTGTGGATGAGGAAATGTTTAACAGTTCCCGTGCTATTCTGTTTAATCCTTTGGATGCTTGCCGCTTTGAGTTAATGCGGTTCAGGACAGTATTCGCTGAGAAGACTTTGCCTTTCACTCTGAGAACGGCAACTAGCATCAATGGTGCCGAAGTAGAGGTCCAGAGCTGGCTGATGATGTCCACTGGGTTTTCTTCCAACCGTGACCCTCTAACTCAGGTTCCCTGTGAAAATGTGATGATCCGCTACCCAGTGCCAAATGAGTGGGTAAAAAATTTCCGCAGAGAAAGTGTCCTGGGGGAGAAATCTTTGAAAGCCAAGGTGAACAAGGGTGCCAGTTTTGGATCAACCAGTGTGTCTGGTTCTGAGCCAGTAATGAGAGTAACTTTGGGAACTGCCAAATATGAGCATGCATTTAATTCCATTGTATGGAGGATAAACCGACTGCCTGACAAAAACTCAGGTGAGTAGTGCGTAATGTCTTGGAATGGATAAATGAAAAGTGTGTATTTTGGGAACTGAGGGATGTTGCATTTACATGATGCTTTCCTTTTGGCCTAAGGAGTGTCCCAGCAGTTACATGAAATGACTAGTTGTCTCCCTTGCAGTGATTTAACATGCCTCACAAAGAAACCCCATTTTGTTATATTCGTATGAAAAAATATGTCAGAGAATCATAAAAATAGAAATGGTCCAGCTCCCTGCCCCAGGCAGAATCATCCTGGTTTAAACCATAAAAATGTTTGTCTAACTTGCACTTAAGAACTTTCAGTGACAGGAGATTCCACAACTTCCCTGAGTAATTTGTTTGAATTAAAAAAAAAAAAAAAAAAATTCTTCCTAGTATCCAACCTAAATCATCCATGTTGTAATATAAGCTCTTAAGTAATAAAACTGGACCAATTAGATTTATTTCCAGTTTATAGTGCTAAGCAAATGCAGTTCTTTGCATAAATTCTCTTTAAAAAATCCAGTTGCTAATGTATCCGCCTCTGTGAGTGGGCACCTCAGAAAGGAAGATACAGGAAAAGTTTAGTGTTGCACTAAATCTGGTACTTCCTGAGAACGTCTGGTCTCTTTTAACAGGAGGCAAAGACTAACTTGGGTGCTTCTCAGCATTTGCTTTATTCAGTCCCCTAAGGACTCCACCACAAAGCACAAACAGAGCAAAGTAACCATAGAAGAGCCTTAAGCTTGAGATTCAGGATGAAAATTCATTATGAAAAACTAGTCTTGCATCAGCAGCAGCATACTTGGAAAGATCCATGATATCAGACTGCCCCTGAAAATGGACAGTACTGTACTCAGGAGATGAAGCTTAAAAAAAAATGATCTGTCTGTGGTGTCCTCCATCCTAGGACCTCATTGTGGTGCACAGACATTACAGCTGGGAAAACTAAGGCCCCGCAATGTTTAAGTGATTTGCAACATGTCAGTAGCAGACTGGGAACAGATGCTCTGTTGCCTGCTCAGACTGCCTCATCCATTTTCATCTCACGTGAAGTATTAATCCAAGTTTCCATTTCTTTGACACTTTCTCCTCTTATCTATAATTCAGCCCTCGACTCTTGGCAGGGGCAAATGAATCGGAGGCAAGACCCTGATGTTAGAGGGTTCTTCCACAGAGCACTAGATGGTAGGGGCCACAGTGCAGAACTCATGGTGGGCCAATTGACCATCTGCTGCAGAGAAAGGTGTCCTAGCTCCAGACACCCCTCCAGTCAGGTCATAGTATGATCTCAGGCAAAGAAAAGGTCTGGCAAGCACTGACTTGGCCAGTATGTGTACAGGGTAAGAAGAGGGAGAGATTCCCAAAGTATTGGTGGATAGGAGCCAATCATAGTTTGAATCCAACTCTGCTTTTCAGGGACTATATTTATATTTCTTTCAGCATGTGTCCCTTGGTTCTAAGTGCTCAATATATCTAACAAACAAATACAAATTATCCATAGGGTTGTCCAAATGAAGCTGATTTATGACATGTGGCCAAAATAATTTCCAAAATAACAGTGGCCTAGCTGTGTACTCATCCTCTCTACTTTGTTATATGCCTTGAATGTCAACAGATCTGGACTCTGGTAGGTCAGAGGAGTAGAACCAGCTCCACTTCTAAGAACTCTTCATGGAAAATATCATATCAGAAACCCCTTCCATTTTAAACCCTGGGACCTCTAGCCTCATCCTCACTGACTTCCACAGAGAGAGGGGAGTGTCTTCTGCTAAAACACTTCCCTGCCAATCACTACTGAGAAACAAATTCTGTGCTTATCCAACCAAGCTCAGCAATTAGGCAGAATTGACAGTTTAGAGGGATTCTGAATGTGGACTCCAGCACCAGTCTGAGATTCTCTATCTCCAGTTTCTTTACAGCAGCCTTGTATTCTCCCACGGTAGTGTGAGGGTATCACTGAAGTGTATGCCTTGGACTGTCTCAGCCAACTCTGTATTTAATTGTTGGATATGGGTGCACACAGAGTGGGAGTAAGCAGGTGGGGCTTGTTACCTGGCAGTAGTCCTGAGCTTGGCTGGGAAGTGGTATAGACATGGCCTGCATGCTAAACCTAGGGCTGCAGACAGATTGCAATATCCAGATCGATGGATCTTTTCAGGAGTGACTCCTGTAGTTTCTCTGCCTTCTCCAGTGCATTTGTCTTTGTACATTTTAATATGAAAAGACCCATGCAGTCCAACAATAGGAGCCTGTCACCAGTTCTGTCTGCACAGTTTTCTAGCCAAGAGCCTTGTTCATTTGCTTATGACAAGAGATTCTAAATCATATGCTTAAACCAAGCAATACATGTCCTTTAGCCTATGATTTTACCTAGAAAGCAAATATGGCCAGGATTCCACTGTGTGTGCTATTGAAATCCTTCCCAGAACATCTTGGTAAACTATTTGTTGCCCTTCTCTGACTCGCAATGAATACGTTGACACTGGTTGATAAAGGAGGCTTGTTTGCAGGCTGTAAGGAGTTGCAGTCACAACTGGCTGTGATCCAGTACAAAAATGCTAGCATGTGTTTTTATCCTTGAGACAGCTGAATGAATGAGTGCTAAGAAAATGTCCACATGCTGATTCCTTGTACAAATGAAGCAACGTTGTGTCCTAAACCAGAATCTTGGCTCCAGATATCCTGAACTCTGGAACAGTTTGGCTGTGCATCCAGCCCAAGCAGACTGATAGCCCTACCTATAAAGCAGACCGAAATAAAACCCAGGCTGTGAATATCTTGGCTAGGGACAGACATTACACACAAACCGGTTTAAGTGATCAGAAACTGGTTTAAACTTGTAACAGAAGAGATGTTCAGTGCACAAAACCAGTTTAAAAATGGCTGAAACTGGTTTGAGATAAGCCTGGTTGAATGTAGTATCAGACTTAACTGATTTGACTCAAACTGGTTTATGCAATGTCTGTCCCAGACCCCTTGCTGGTTTAAGATAAACCAGACACCCCCAACATCCCGGCATGTTCTCTGGGCTGGGTGGGCCTCTCTGCTGCACAGCAGGGCTGGTCCTTCTCCTCTGCTGCCTCGCTGGAGCTCCGCAGTCTCTGCAGGCATCTGCCTGGCTTCTGCTCCCCCCCTCTCTTCCCCACTCTGTGCTAAGCAGGCATTCCCCTATCTCTCAGACCACATGCTGACTACAGTCTGTGCTGTGGGAGAGAACAGAGGCAGACAGGTAGCTTAATGTCCTTCCTTGGAAAAGCTATTTAAGAGCTGTTTGCTTCCCCCACACCCCTACCACTCCCTGCTAAGCAGCAATTCCCCACTTCCCTCTGCCTTGCAGAGACGTTATCTGTGTATTAGCTAGCAGACCACATGCTGGGTCTGTGCTGAATCAACAGGCAGAATCACCAGGTAGTTGGTAGGGGTGTAGGTTGTAGCCATGTTGGTCTAAGGACACAGGCAGACAAGGTTCCTTGCGTGAATCTGATATCTTTTATTAGACCAACCCAAATAGTTGGAGAATAGTTATTAAGCAAGCTTTCGGGTTCAAAAACCCTTCGTCAGGCTAAGGAAGTTTCAGCAGTTGGTGTGTGCTCTTCCTGGATGGAATGAAAAGTCTTAGATTGGGCCTTGGACTTCTGTAAATCAGATGATGGTATACTATCCTCTACTGAAGGTTTTCAAGCAAATTACACTTGACAAAACCACCAAGTAAATTCCTTTATTCTACCTTTTGATAGAAAGGAGATCACCATGTCAGGGAGATATAATCTCTATATAGAATGCAAAACCAGTTTAAAGTGAGGATACAAGACACACTTCTCTTCCATTCTCCATAATGTTTTTCTCCCTTCTCCATTTCAAAATTCACACACACTTCCTGGCAACATCAGGAAAGGGTTTGGAAAAGGCTAGTAACCGAGTTTACTTTCTCCCATATTTCTTAAAAGATCTGACCAGAAAGTTTGAGAGACTAGTAAAGTGTTTCTCAACCTTTTGAGACTCAAGATACCCCTCAGAAAATGTCAGCCCTTCATTTTCGTTTGATTTTTGACTACAGAAAAATAATGGAATTCTTCTTCTATTGCAAAGAACTCAGAAAGACAACAGGCAAGAATTATTTTATCACTGTGGATTCCCTACTTGCCATCTCTGGGTTATTCTTGTGAATCATTTTGCGTACCTAATAGTGTTAATATTGTGTGACACCCTGTAGCACCCCTGAAAGGATCTCAAGGCACTCCAAGATGCCCCAGAACCCTGGCTGAGAATCACAAGGGGCCTTTCAACTTTTGTTTATTGATACAAATTAAACCAGGTTTGCTTGAAATAAACATTTCAACAAACTTGGTTTAATTTGTATCAATTGGTGTTTAAATACCACAGTAATTAATGTTATATACACATGTATTTTTAAGTTACACACACACCACCCTTTGTGCCTGTAGGGTTTAATGCATTTCAAGAATGGGGCCAATAGGAGGAGGAAAGAGTTAGGCCCCTGGTACATATTAAATTGAAGGTATAATTTAGGTATCAATAGCACTACAAATAGTAACAGTGTTCACATTCAACCAATTTATGGTGCCACAAATTTGATCAACAACATACGCATGTGGAACATCTTTGTGTCTCATTTGTATGATGCCACAAATTGCATGTGTAGCATCCCTCCTGATGCTGACAAAAATCAGCTGATTGTCAGCATCTTCATTCCATCCAGGAAGAGCACACACCAACTGCTGAAACTTCCTTAGCCTGACAAAGGGTTTTTGAACCCGAAAGCTTGCTTAATAACTATTCTCCAACTATTTGGGTTGGTCTAATAAAAGATCAGATTCACCCAAGAAATTTTGTCTTCCAGGTAGTTGGTAATGTCCCTGTTTTCTTAATGGGGCAATAAACACTGAGATAAGAGGCGACCCTGTTATCAGCCCCCACCCCCAACTTGCTTGCCTGTCAGTTTGCTGCCAACAGTATACAGAAACAAGGAGGGAGACTGAAAAGCTCCATATCATCAACAGAAGCATGCGCTGCACACACCCACTTAATTTTGTCTTCCAGGTAGTTGGTAATGTCCCTGTTTTCTTAATGGGGCAATAAACACTGAGATAAGAGGCGACCCTGTTATCAGCCCCCACCCCCAACTTGCTTGCCTGTCAGTTTGCTGCCAACAGTATACAGAAACAAGGAGGGAGACTGAAAAGCTCCATATCATCAACAGAAGCATGCGCTGCACACACCCACTTTGCCTCAGTGCTGGCTTGGGGGTTGGCAACACTCCCATCCCTTGAGCAGCAAGCTGGGAAAAGCCTGGGACGGTGTAGGCAGGCTGGGGGTTTACACCCCTCCCTAATCAGAGCCTCCTGCTGGGACCTGGCAATCCCCCCCCCCTCAGCTTAGCTTTGTTGAAGGACAGGGAGGGCTGCTCTAGCACCCCCAGGCTTCTAGCCTCAGCCCCTGCAGGCATGTGCCTGAATTTGTTCCGTCCAGAGGGATTATCTGTATGGTTGGAAACCGGTTCAGCCTAGCCAGGTTAGACTAACTTGCAAAGGTTGAATCAGTTCAGGCTCAGGCTTTTTGAATGTCTGTCCCTAGCCCTTTAAACAGAGGCTGTTCAGAACCAGATGCCCTTCAATGATGGCAGTTCAAGTCAATCTTTGAACAGCAAATATTGTTCAGTTTATTATCAGGAGTGAGAGCCAAAGAAAAGCAATGAGATCATTGAGGAGAAGGACAAGAAGGCTAAAGACAAAGAGATGGGGTAGGAGGGGAAAATTAGTCCTCAGAAGGGCTTACAGGGAATTTCAGTACATAACTTACAAGAAGTGATCCAGACTGACCCACCCCAGTGGTTTATGCTGTGATCACAGAGCCACTAAGGAGCCTCTATTATGGGCTGAAAATAGTGCTAGGCACCTAGACAGACTTCTGAGCATGCTTAAATGCAAACCAGTTCAATCTAGGTTTCTAGCTACAATCATAAATCCCTAGTCCAGGAGTGGGCAAAATATGGCCTGCAGGCTGGATCTGGCTTACCAACAGACTTGGTTCAGCCTATGAGTGGACGGCCGCCAACTCATTAGATTTGGCCCCTCGGACAGCTTGTGGCTTCAACTGCTGCATGGTCCCGGGCAGGCCTGCTTGCGTCCAGAAGCATCAGCCCTTGATGCAGCGGCCTCATCTGTGAACCCAGGTGGGGTTTCCACCAAAGCAGATGGGCAGCGGTATCAACTGTGGACACACCGCTGGCAGGTTCAGGAGCTGACACAGAACCTGCTAGTGGCATCTGCAGCTGATGCTGCTGCCATCCCAGCACAGTGGAAGCTCCCACCCAGAGCCCCAACCCAGAACCTAACGGCAGTGTCAGCTGTGGATCCAAGCAGGAGAAGAGAGAGAGGGAGAGAGAAAGAGACAAGGAGAGAAAGAGAGACAGAGATGGATGTGGCCCTCAGGTTCCCAAAACTCATTAAGTGGCCCTCTAGCTGAAATAATTGCCCACCCCTGCCCTAGTCCATTAGGTTCCCACAGAGCTTGCCTAACAGCATCAAGTGCAGCACTCACAATCACTCTCACTCAGAAGCCTGGGCTCTTTGTACTTCCAGTCCATTTGTTTATATAACCTAAGTGCTCAACAAGTTTAAATAGACAACAGCAGCAAATCTTCCCAATGCATGAATAGTGAAATTAGCCTGCTTTGTTACCAGTTGCTACCACTAAAGCTGGTTTAAAAGCAAATGACAGCCCTCTTGATTTGTGAAACAGCTGAATTCTGCAGGGTTCATCTGCAGTTCATGGGGTCAATGTAGGGTGATTAAGAACCAATCTTGTTCCCACTGAAGTCAGTGGAAATTTTGCCACCTCCTTCAGTATGTGGGAGCAAGCTCAGGCTCTTTGATTGCAGTGCTTTTTGCTTTTCACATCAGAGACCATGTTTGTCTATCTTGTACATCTCACTGGAACTGAAAGCAAGGACCCTCTCTCTCCTCTGTTTTTAATGACAACATGGAGGGGGAAGCTGTGATTCAAAGGCAGAGTGACAAAAGCTGGACCAGGATGGAGGGAAAGGATAAATTAAGACAAGAAGTGCAATAAAACAGAAGTTGGGATGAGTGGATTAACAGCTCTAGCTGGGCTATAAGACTGGGAGTCAAGGGGAGAACAGCAGAAGGGAGCCTAAAACGGAATTGGGTGAGGTGAGGTGGTAGAATTGGTTGGGTGACCAGTCAAGACAGGTAGCTAGGTAGGGCGTGGAAGTAAAGGCTAGTTGGACAAGGAGACTGATGTTAGGAGCTTGAGGGAAGAGCCTGGAATTGGAAGTGATGGAGAAAATGCTTGAGAAGGACTGAGAGTCAGTTGTCTATGATTGAGGGATACACTGATACCAGGCAAAGAGCTTGCAGGGCAGGAGAGAAGCTGATGGTAAGAGCACATGAAGACCTGGAGAAGAGATGAAACATGTCTAAACAGAATTGGATTGCCATAAAAAGAACTGGGACTGACTGAGCAAAGAGACTGGGACAAGGAGCAGGAAAGAAGGCAAAGTATGGACTGAGTTTAAGTTTGGATGATGAGCCTAGCACCAGGAACCATTAGTCGGACAGGAGAAACCAATGAAATGAGGAGCCAGGAAAGGCAAACTTGGACAGGCTGGGCAAGGAGACTAGGAAGTGCAGAGGGGGAGAATCTTGCAATGGAAAAAGAGATCAGATCTTGAACGGTGAGCCAGTCCTTGCCAACTAATCCAGGGATCAGCAACCTATGGCTTGCCAGCTGAATCCATCTCATGGAGTCACCTGGCCCGTGGAGTTCGGAGACTTCTGCAGCATTTTGGCAGCAGGGAGCTTTACCTGGACAGCCAGGTCCCAGCTGACTTGGAAGCGGCTCATGTTCATAAGCTAAGCTCCTTTAAAGTGCCTGCCACCCTCCCCACAACTCAGCAAAACATTGCCAATCCTTGACATAGACCTATTTTGGCCCACTCAGCCATCTCTTTGTCACCAGCCTTTTTGCGCAGGTAATGTCAGTTCCTAGTTCTCCAGCTTGTCTGCTCATTCCATCTTGGTCTCCCCACTACCCCCATGTTGGCTCCTTGTCTCTCTCACTCTACGCGTTCTCCCTACCTCGTTCTATCCATGCATAACAGCTCTTTGTCAGTTCTTATCACTCCTTCTGCTCATCCCTGGTTCTCTCCACCTTCAGACTGATGAACAAGAAGACTAGAAACCAGTTTCCAGTCCTTCCCTCTCCCCCATGCTCCTCGTCTGACCCTTTTGTTTCCATCTAATCAAGTGCCAACCCATTTCTCTCACTGGATCCCATTTTCATAGTTTCATAGTAGCTAGGGTCAGGAGGGACCTGAACAGATCATCTAGCCTGACCCCCTGCCACAGGCAGGGATGAATGGGGGGGTGCAAA